CCGAAAGGTTTCGTGGGATATAGTTTCCCCCGGGGGAGTATTTTCATAAAATTATTTGCCCCATTGTCATAAAAGTTAAGTTAACTTTTTGTTTCTTCTTGTTCGATGGCTGGTAGCTCTTGTTGTTATTGTTGTCGGGTTTGTATTGTTGTTATTGTGTGGTTGGAAAGTGGAGAGGGGGACGGAGGGGGTGAGCGTGGAAGGGCGGGAAATCCAGCGGAATGTCTGAAGACCCAAAGTCGCATGAATGAACCGCACACGCCTCGGGGACAGACACAAGAAACCAAAGAAAGACGCACGAATGGTCGACTAATACACTGCGAGAAAGTAACTGCTCTCAATTAATAATGAAAATTAGCCATTCTAACTAAAACAATTGTTTAAACTTTCAAGTAAAAAAAATATTATCATTAGTGTTGAGTATATTCGGACATTATTTAAATAAATAAGTAATAATAATAATTGTATGTCAATTAAAACTATATTCAAGCTGGTTCATGTTTATTATCTGATGTTATAAGAAAAATATTGAAGAAGTTAAGAAATATTGCCCTGGAAAATCATACATATAGCATTTATGTTGTGTTAGCAAAAAATGTTTGACTTTGGGGTCGCAAAAATATAAACTATTTATCAATTGAAATTTATAATATCATATTTAATTATGTTTAACTGCCAGAAGTGTTAAATATTAAAGCCCCGTTAACTTTTTAAATCAATTTGAGCTCTTGAAAATCGGCTGATATTAAAAATTTGGGTTTCGAATACTTAAGTGCATAAATGAGTGGGAGGCAAGAGTTCAAGGGGCGAGATTGGAGTGTAGACCGCATCCGAGAGCAAGAATAAATGGCTGCAGTGTCCGGCATGCGTCGCATGATTGAATGATTTTATAATATTTTCATTTTATCGAGCAAAAGGTCCGGAGGCGGGATGGGAAAAGTGGGAACGGGGAGCTGCGGAAAATTAAACATATCAGTCAGTGGTCAGTGGTCAGAAGTGCCGTGGGATGGCCGGAAAAGCAGGAATGGCTGGAATAGCTGGAATGGCTGGAAGGGCTGGAATGGCTGGAATGGCCGGAATGGGAGCCACAATGGGAGATAATAACGTGTCACGCTTCGGTATCGTAAATCAGCAAATCCAACTTTATGAGCCCCCAAACAAAACACCCCAAAACAAGCATTGGCGGACCTCCTAATGGAGAGCCCCTGAGGAGAGATTTTAATGGGTGTGTACGGGACAATAAATAGCCATAAATTGGGACAACATGAATCGGAAATTAAAAAAGATACCAACCGCATTAAAGGAAAGCTAACACTTAACCGCACAAATTGCTGCCGAACGCATTTTAATATTAATTCATTTTCATTTCCAGTACTTATCTTTGAGTGCATATGGGGCAGACAAGGGTTAACCAATGTGTACGTACCTGCAAGTATAAGAGCGATAATAAAAATTATTCATTGGAAAAATATATTTACTCATTTCCAAGTGCAAAATGAATGCCTCAGCAAATCAGTGAATTGCCAGTGATAAGTTCACTTGAATTTTAAATGATTATAACAATGAATGGCGATCCAATGAAAAATGTTTATGAGTTTCGATATTAAAAATAGGAATGAATTAAATTAAAATATATAACAAACAAAAATAATATAAAGAAAGAAAATTCAATTAATTAAAAATCCCCTAACAAATACAAAAGTTGTGGACTCCTTCCTTTTGTTATCATTCAACACTACGAATTGAAATTAATGGAGATATATATTTTACTGCTTGCCTTCATAAATTCAGTTAATTTGCGAGCAGGGCAATATCTTAAGTTTTGCCCCCGTCAATCTTCTTTATGATATATTTCTAAATACTTCTTAGTAGTCCTCGCGCATTGTTACGTATGATAAACTCGCACTAAGCTAATTAATTTTCCGCGGAACAGAATCGAGGGCATGTTCCAGTCAAGGGAAAGCACACACGCACTCGGGAAGTCCTAATCTATCTAATCCATCAGAGGAGAGTTCTGAATTATCCATAGCCATATCGGTTCCCCAAGAAAAGGCACAGTACTCCAGTGGGTGGTGCTCCTCGTGAAACAAATTGGTCGCAACTGGTTCGACGACCTCACACCTCGACGCTTTGGACACGCAGTCAGTCGCCCTCTTGTCATTCCGGGCAATGTAATACGCGGACAGTGAGGAACGGACAGCGGACAACGGACAACGGACAACGGACATCGGGAAACGGACACGGGACACGGGACACTTTGTTTGAATATTATTTATGAGCGGCTTTTGTTGTAATTCAAGGAAATCGGTTCGCTGAGCCAATTTTACTGCCCTTCCAGTGGGTACTCATACTAATTTATATGTCAAGTCCAGTATCAGAAAATAAAAGTAAATTAACTCAAACAAATTAAAGAATGTGATAAAATAATATTATACACATTTTTAGGTTGATAAAGCAATAAATATTATTTCAATATACGTATTAATTTCTATTCATTTTTCTATGTTAGCTTAAACTCCCAAGGGATCTGTCGATATTAAACTTAAATTTTAACTTAAAACTTTATTTCCAAATAATAATAATTAACATTTATTTGTAGGGATAATAAATATTACATTTAAAGTTAGTGGCTAATTGCTGTTCCGAAAATATTTTTTTTTATATTGCCTAGAATTAAATCCCCTTGTGATTATCAGAAAAAAAAAATTCAAATTTTTAATAGTCCAATGCGTTATGGGAAGATTTAAACGTTCCTTAATTCTCAGAATTATGTCTTATGATTTATTTTAAGGGCATTTAAAGTATCTGTACTCGAACACCTTATTTTCGGCTCTCCTGTTCGGCTTATTTTTTTGTCCAGCCCCCATAATTTATTCAAACAGAGGGCTGGCATACGACACACTTTAGTCCAACTTGGCGAGAATTATGAATTGCCAGGGGCAAAACAGAGGCAGTGAGTGGGCACCGAAGCCTTCGTTTCTAATTAGGCTTAAGTCGACGTGGTTTGGCCCACTGATGGACACTAACGGACATTAGAAAAGCCACACGTGTCACATACGCAGGTCAAGTGGGATACGGATACGGAAAACCCGAGGCGGAGTCTAAAATTGATCCATTCAAAAGAGCCACAATTCTGGCCCAGCTCTGCATCTCCAGTACGACGTCCCTCCGCTGATCCCAAAATCCTTACCAGGGCCACGTGTTAAGCTCGTTTTAATGAGTCAATTTAAAAGTTTGCCGCTCTAAAAATAGCCACCCAACTTAGAAGGGGATTTGCTGGGGAGTTGGGCTGTAACCTTAAATCTCTGGCAAAGTGAAACCGAAAGTAATGAATAAGGGGAGGCCTGTTTTTTTTCCCAGGATAAAGTATACTGCTAACTAAATTGGTTTTGCCTTGTAGGGCAACTCTAAATTACACTTAAAATTAGTTGCTCTTGTTAAATTTTATTATTTTATAAACATTTAAAAAAATTAAAAGTCACTTTATTACAAGACATCGGAAAGTTAGAAATAACTAACATGAAAATGGGTCAAAAATTTGATCAGAGGTAAATCAAAAATTTTGAATGCAGATATTTAGAGAATCGAATCACGAGTCTTTAGAGGTATGCCACTTTGGAATCGGATTAAATTTGGTAAAGTTATAGACTGTCGAAGTGCAATTTTGAGTCACTGTTTTACAAAACATCGGAAAATTAGAAATAACTAACATGAAAATGGGTCAAAAATTTGATCAACGGTAAACAAAAAATTTTGAATTCAGATTTTTAGTGGATCGAATCACGAGTCTTTAGAGGTATGCCACTTTGGAATCGGATTAAATTTGGTAAAGTTATAGACTGTCGAAGTCCAATTTTGAGTCACTGTATTACAAGACATCGGAAAATCAGAAATAACTAACATGAAAATGGGTCAAAAATTTGATCAACGTTAAATTTAAAATTTTGAATGCAGATTTTTAGAGGATCAAATCACGAGTCTTTAGAGGTATGCCACTTTGAAATCGGATTAAATTTGGCAAAGTTATAGACTCTCGAAGCCCAATTTTTAGTCACTGTATTACAAGACATCGGAAAATCAGAAATAACTAACATGAAAATGGGTCAAAAATTTGATCAACGTTAAATTTAAAATTTTGAATGCAGATTTTTAAAGGATCGAATCACGAGTCTTTAGAGGCATGCCACTTTGGAATCGGATTAAATTTGGCAAAGTTATAGACTCTCGAAGTCCAATTTTGAGTCACTGTATTACAAGACATCGGAAAATCAGAAATAACTAACATGAAAATGGGTCAAAAATTTGATCAACGTTAAATTTAAAATTTTGAATGCAGATTTTTAAAGGATCGAATCACGAGTCTTTAGAGGCATGCCACTTTGGAATCGGATTAAATTTGGTAAAGTTATGGACTCTAGAAGTCCAATTTTTAGTCACTGTATTACAAGACATCGGAAAATCAGAAATAACTAACATGAAAATGGGTCAAAAATTTGATCAACGGTAAATCGAAAATTTTGAATGCAGATTTTTAGAGGATTGAATCACGAGTCTTTAGAGGTATGCCACTTTGGAATCGGCTTAAATTTGGTAATGTTATGGACTCTCGAAAAAAAAAAACTGTTATGCTTACTAACAGAAAACAAAAAACAAATTATATCATATCTGGTAAGTGAGCAACACACATGTAACAAATTTTAAAAAGTAAAACGAAACCCTTAAAAAAGGTTACAAAAAATCTGTAAGCATCATTTTACTTTGTATAATGTTTCGCCTCAGTTTCTGCACCTAAACTTTTGCCAACTTACTCTGTGCTAATAAATATACAAAATGAATTGATATATAATAATAGTGAATATTTGGTGAATCGAAAGTAAATCAATTCCGTATTCATAAATGAGTACAAATTAATAGGTCTCAAAAAGAGGCATGAAATAAATATTTAAAACAATCCGGATCGTATCTAGTGGTCACACCAATCACATTACTATGGTACATACCCATCTGCGTAGGTGACGGTGGATCCGGTCATGGACAAGGCCTTGTACCTGGCCTGCTCGTCAGTTGGCAACACGATGTCAACGGATCGCGATCTAGTTGCGTTGATATTGGGCACGGTGAGGAAACATCCATCGGCACTCGGTTGCAACTCCTCGGTTTTGGCGTTCGACGAGAGTTTGGTGAAGCACGAATCCACGGAGGCGGCGCGATCCCGCTTCAGATCCGGCACCATCAAATAGATATCCCGCACCACAAAGGCGCTGTGATGAGCACCGCTGCCCGATGGACCTGCTCCGCCGGCGGCTCCGGGTGAGCCGCAAGTGGCCATGATCGAGGCCTCGTCGAGCGAGTCATTGGTGTCCACCGATGACTTGGTGTTGCTGTTGTCCACCTCCTCGTGCGACACATTCTCCAACGAGTTTCCAGTGGGCTCCACGAACACCGCCTCCTGTCGCGAAATGGAGCGACGTCTGGCCCGCACCGGCAGACCCATGGCGGCACCGGCATCCTCGGCATCGGCCGCGGAGCAGGGCGTGGTTATGGTCGGGGTCAGGACCGGCATTCTGCAGGGCGACATGGGCGGCGAGCCGGGATCCAGGGGGAGATGCGGCGGCGATGGATAGTCCCCGTTGGTCGGACTCAGTGTGAAGGTTATGCCGCAGGGCGTGGCCGGCTGCGGTGGCAACAGGGTGTTGCCGAAGTGCGGCGACCCATTGTCCGATCCGTCCAAGCCCTCATCCTCGGAGGCCGAGGTGACCGAGCTGCTGCCGATGGTGTGGCGCCTCATTTGCCGTGGGAGGCGGGCTCGTGACTCCTCGATGCTGCTGCCCTGGCTCATGTTGCCAATGCGTATGTCCATCTCCAGGGCGGCATCGTCGTCCGGATCGTGATCGTGCTCGGACTCCACCTCGGTCCTCGGGTCCTCATCCGCCTCCTCAGTGGCCGCTTCGGTGGTCTCCTCCTCGGCATCCTCCTCCTCCTCCTCGCCGCGGCCAGGGCCAACGCCCCCCTCCTCATCCTCACTCCCCTCCGAGCTGGTGTTGCTGTAGCTGAGGGCCGTCAGCTCGCGATGATCGATGAAGTAGCGCTGTTCGGCCGTCATCAGGCGCTCGTACTCCTCCAGATATTGACAATGGATGCACGGCGGCGGTGTCTTGGTGGACGAACTGCGCCGGGCGGGCTTCGGCTGTGCGGGCACCTCCAAAAAGGCGCCCGAGTCATCGCTGCCCCCCGAGGGGGTAGCCGAATCGAAGCTGTGGGATCGCTGTTGATGGGCCGCCAATGGCACCTGCAGGAGGCCAGATTCCGAGGAGCGTTCCTCCGCCGAGGACGCGGACTGCTGCTTGAGCAGACTGGAGGAGGCACGCTGCGACTCCAGTTGCATCTCGTCGAAGGAGGCCGAGCGCACCTGCAACAAGCGGTTGGTCACGAGGGTCAAACGATAGATCTCTAGTTATTGGCGCCCTACTTGGGGCATGCGAAACAAACGTAACAACAACAACTGATATCTATCAACAGTCGTCGAAAGAAACACATGCAAAACACAACAGTAAAGCAACATAAAACTATCCAAATTTATCAATCAATAAACGAATTTATCATTGGAAAGTTCCGAATACCTAAGTAACATCAACTAAAGTAACACATGCAAAACAGATAAATGCAATCGAATAACTTTATTATTCAGATAAATAATGCATTTAACGAAACGTTAACACAACAAGAACACAAACGGCAAATGAAAAGAGTTTAGGTCAATAATTAATGGCGACAATATATATATACCAATAAATATATTGAATTAAATTGAACCTTATAAACCAGAAATTCGAATACAAATCTTAGAGGTAAGTAACTCAAAAAGATCTCCGTATGGAACCAAAGTCAGTTGAAAACGAACCAAGACAATGGGAACATTCCCAATCTTCATGCCGCAGGCAACAACAAACAGTCGACAGGTAATATCTGATTGATCAAGGATTGATTAAGCACCTTTTTTACCTGCTTGGGCACCTCCAGGCTGTTCTGCATCTTCATTTCGGCACCGGTCGGTGTGCGCGATCGCGTGAAGGTTGTTCGTAGACGTTGCATGGTTGCTGCTGTTGTTGCTTGCAGTTGCTGGTGGAAATTGTTGGTTGTTGACGTTGTCGTTGTCGTTGTCACTGCCGGGTTGTTGTTTGCTACCGGCTTAATTGCTGCCGAATTGCTGGTTGAGGCTACGGGCTCGTGCAGCTGGTCGATGGACGGTTGTTGCCGCTGCATTTCGCACGGATGTTGCTGCAAAGTTGTTGCAAGTTGCTGTTGCTGCTGTTGCTGCTGCTGCTGCTACTGCGATTTCTTCTACTGCCGATTGGTTGTTGCCTGTGGTTGTTGCAGTTCTAGCTGTTGATGTAATCGTTGTTAAATAGTTGTCACTTTTTGTGCCTGGGTTGTTGTTCTCGTCGTTGTTGTTGATGCTGCAATTGCTGCTACTGTTCGTGATTAGCTTGCTATTGCTGGTGTGAATGTTGCTGTTGTTGTTGGGTTTGTAGCTGGCTAACTGCGGATGGACAATTCTGATGGCCAATTCCATTTCGATGTTGATGTTCTGTTCTGTCAAAGTTTTTTTCTTTTTGTCCTGCTTGTTTTGTTTGCTTAGCTTCCTGGAGGAGAAGTTTTTTTTTGTTGCTGACTTTCAGGACTCTCGTTGTAGTTGTTGTTGAACGCCAGAAGCCAGTTCTTGGTTGGCTCACGGCTTTTTGTTTTACTTTTAATTAATCAAAAGTTTCCCGCTGTGAATTGCAATTTACAAAGGTCCCAAAAACGAGAGAGAGAGAGAGAGAGGGAGAAATGGAAGAATTGATTACGTTAGTTAAATGATTAAAAAGCATTTTCCGCAGTTTTCCTTTCCCCACGAAACTCAAACATTGGGTGCAAAAAAAACCGCTCAATTTACACGCCAAACAAATTTTTTGCTGACCAATTTCGTGAAAGTCTCAAACGCACACACTCACCCACTCGCACAAAAGCCCTCACATAGAAGTTTTTTTCGTAAATTGAAAAATCCTTTTATTGCCATCGGTGCTAAAAATGTTTGTTTGAAGTATTTTTGAAAAACTGCTGCCCGCTCGATGCATAAAAAAGAAGAGAGCTAAAAATCGACGACCTTTGTTATCGTTATAAAAGATTTGTATGCCTGCCCTTTGGGGCGATATGAAATTGAATTCTATATTCAAGAAAATATACATATGTATACCAAACAATATATTTTATAATGTCCGATGGCTTAAAAGTTTTTCTTTTAAGATTGTAAAGAGTTTCATAAATCTAAAATATGTATGAACATATTATCTTAAGCATCTTTAATTTAAAAACATGTAAAAAGTTCCCATATTTTGTCTGCGCTATACAAATTTTGTATTATTTTTTTTCCCGGCAGGGCAATCAGATTCGTTGTCTTGATGATGCCCTTTGAACTGGTCATATATATTCTTGTTTGCCATATGAAGCGATGTACAGCTTTCTTTTTTTTTTTTAACTTTTTCGCCCTTTTTGTTTTGCTTTTTTGCCATTCCAATTCATTCCAAAAACACACCGTGGCACGTGTGTTTAGTGGAAAGTGCTAAATTGACGGGCGATGCGGTTCGCTAACGGTTCGGTTGGATTCCGGACTGGAAAATGGATGAAAATAGGGGGGAAATGGAGCGAAATGCGAGGGGAGGCGGTTTCGTTTTACAGACAATAGGTGGCTGAAGGAAAACAACGGCAAAAAATCCATTATGGCATACCTATGGCATGTGCCGCGGGACTCTTCTCGTGGCGGGGTCACCAGGAGAAAGAGGGTCACCAAGAGGGTCCGCAGGGTGAGAGGAAGGGGGGCGATGTGTGGGGTGGGTGGGCGAAAAAAAGGGATGCGGCCGGACAAAGACACAAAGAGGAACCTCTGTTTGTGTGGGTCGCAAATTGAAAGCGTGAAATTAAATGAAAATGATATAGCTTTGAAATTGAATTCCATAGAAATGCCGAAAGTTTGCCAGGTGACGGCATGGAATGGCGTTGCGAGTGGCAAAGAATTTGCCAAAGTACGTAGTTAGGAAAGGTACTTGGGAGGGGGGAGGGGGTGGCCCGTGCCACGGAGATTTAATTGGGAATGGAATGCAGGTGCATTGAATGCATAGCCGACTTCGGGACTGAGATTGCTCAATTGAAACACCGCTTAAACAGTGTGGCCTACTTTCCGGCGGCCTTTATAAACATCAAACATAACTAAAGAACAAAAAACTTCTAGAAATGTGTAGCAATCAATACATTAGAATGCTTTAAAGATTGTAAAATATTTTTTAAAATTTAATTTGTACTTTTAAACAGTAATATAATAATTACAAAAATAAGCCTCTTTCTTTTTGAGGCAGACTTTGTAATTTTCTTCCTGGACCCATAATATTCAACAGCACTACAAAAACCCACACATATCTAAATTACCGAGGAAACTGCCTATTAAAAGGAAAGCTTGTCAGTAAATGCCTTAGAACTTTGAAGAATGTTCAGAATAGAAGCAAAGTTTCTTAAACAATTGCCCTGATTTATGCCACTTGAGTGGCGGGGATTGTTGGTAGGAGAAGGCTACTTTGTAATTAAGTAAATTTTTGCAAGGAAAAATACCCATAAATCTTGGACATTGTTTGCCACTCAGTTAATTAGTGGAAAACTGACAGATTGTGTTTTGCAGCGATAAGCCTTCAAATGAGAAACCATTTTCAATTGGAGACCAATGTAGAAGGCCACCCCCTCCCCTCATTTTACCACATCCATTCTCCATTCTCCTTTAACTTTTTGCATCGTTTAAGGGGCCAAATCAAATATAAACAAGCACACACATATATATATATAAATATATATACTGGCTTGTTACAAACACGTTATTTATTTGCAGACCCCTTGACTTGACCCTGCTGCCCTCAACTTCCCTGATGGCCTCGTAATTGTTCAGAGCCCGCGTGCTACTAAGTAAAAAGTTTTGTATAATTTTTCATAAAGGCAGAGCCCAGCGAGGAGCCACAACAACAATACGAAATATATATATGTACATATATACGAGAACTCAAAGCGCTGCAAATGGAGCAACTGGGGAATCGGTGGCGTATGAGGAATGCCCATATTATGTGACTGAGAGCCACCTCCTCCTCCTCCTTCTCCTCACCAGGCTCATTCCCATTTTCTGGCTGGGAATTGGGAAATCCCCGCTGGCTTTGAGTCCCCTGCCTTTGAGTCTGGCTCATTAAAGGTGCCAGAAAAAGGAAAGCGCTTCACTTACAGGCCATAAACATTTTTGTAAAATTAATTTGGACCCCGCTTAACCTGCAATTTGTAACAAAAGTTAACAAAATGCCAAGTGCTATTGATGAGCTAAATTTACGGCAATTTAATGTGGTTTTTTTAATGCGTTTTTTGTGTGTTATTAAGTAGTTTATAAACTAAACCAAAATGTAACAATTTGGCTTAACATAATCTGATATGCACAACAAAATAAGATTATTTGTGGGAGGTTTAATACTCTTAAGTTGATTTAATAAAACGAAATAATCTAAGAATTTAACAGAAAAACAATTCAATGTATATTCCTAATTTTAGATTTATTTTACCAAGTAATAATTATCAAATGAAATGCGCATTACCAAATTTCCCGGAACTAAGTTTAATGAGAAAGTTATTAACCTGTCCAACAAGAATACGAAATTAGATATTACCAAAAATTTAAATTACTGTTAAAATATGTTTAGGAACTTTCGCGAAGAATTTAATTGGTCCGATGGTCTTAATTCCCCCTTTTTCACCCAGACGTTGAAAATTAATCTGCGGCATTTTGATTTTCGTGGTGGTGGAAAACTGGGTGAAATTAAGTTAGTCGGGCGTGGAACTGCGGTCAAGGAGGGAGAGGGTCGGGAAGTTGTCTCAAATAAAAGAAGAAAAATATGTTAATTTCAATTAATTGTTGGCAGCAAGAAAAGTTCTCGAAAAAAAAAATAAAACGAAAAGAAAAATTGTTTAAAGCGAAGAAGAGTTTACGCTTGATGGGGTAAGGTTTTTGGGTAAGGGTTCGAATCGGGATTGGGTTGGGTATCCCCCTTTTTCGGCAGAATAACTTGCGAGCAGCATCATAATTTGCTGCCATTTGTCGCTGCCAAAAAAGAGACGAGAAGTGTTTTTGTTGCACTTAATGACTGTGGGGGAAATTATTTAACGCGAAGCGTTTTGGCGCCAACGGAAGCCGAAAACTTTATCGAGGAGACCACCCCTTCCCCTTTCCCTTTCCCTTTCCCTTTCCCTTTCACTTTTCCTTAACCCACTGCCACCTTTCAAAAAAGAAAAGGGGGGCCAAAGTATTCCAGGAAATTCGGTAGAATATTTAAATAAATTTTGACAAAATAACTTGGCAAACAGAACGAAAAGTGAATGGAAAAACTTTTCCATCCCACCCCACCCCTTTTTTTCTGGCTTAATTTTCTCCTCTTTTCTTCACACTGTTTTGCTTTCGATGGGTTGGAGTTGTTGCACGTGTCCTGGGAATCTGAACAGGAGACTAAGGACGTGCCCGATGATTTGGCATATTTATCAATGGCAACGCAATCGGAGGCAAACTGCCGGCAAGATATTGAAATGTGAGCAGAGGGTTTGGCTTACATTTATCTCGACCCGTTCTTTTCAAAGCACTGATAAATTAACGCTAGCATGTCCAAAATTTCTTGAGTATCCCTATATTAATATCCAAATTAATTAAATCTGCTCATGTATAAAAAACCTTATTATATAACATAAATTTAAATAAGTAATAAAATGTTTCTCATTTGATATAAAATCGTTGCATTCCAACATTTAAACTGTATATGACAATATTCCACAAAATACAGATATACTATTTTATTCCCAATTTGGGTTTGTTTTATTCAAAGCTATTGAAATAATAAAGATAGCATTCTGCTGGTGGAAAAAAAATATACTGATATACTGATTTTTGCACCGTGCATCTTCATCTTTGGCATCTCACTTGGCTGGCACTTTGAATGCGAATTCGGTTCGGCTTGCAAGTGGGTCAATAGTGACGTCAGCAGGTGGCAGGAAAAACAAAAGGAAAAACCCATAAAAAACGCACACACAAAAAAAAAGGGTTTCCAACTTGAGCGATTGCTTCCACTTGAGAAACCGTTTTTTGTTCGCTTCTCGACGGCTTTTCTCACACAGTATTCCTCGCATTTTCCTGCAATCTCAATCGATGCCAAGTTGGGCTGCAAGTGGAGCAGGTTAAGTGCAAATCCTTGTAAGGATATACCATCCCTTGCAAATGTGTGTGTGTGTGTGTGTATGTATGCGAGAGTCTGCGAGTGTGTGTGGGTGTGTGTTGGGAATGTTTAAAATCGCGCTTAAGTCGCGTGTAAAACGCTTCATGCAATTATCAAAAGTGACTGACAAGTAATGAGAAAGAATCGGAAGGCGAATTGATGGGCAGGTCAGAAAAAATGTGTAAGTGCACAGTACTTCCCGAAAATTATTCTCATTTAACCAGCAAAATTACATTTTATAAAAATTTATAATATTGAACAGGCAGCCGAATGAGGAAATGGCTTTAGAAAACCATGTAGTTTTAAAGGTAGATTCAATTAGAAGTTTTACTATATAAATATTATTTAGTTTAAAAAAAAATCACTTTAAATAAAAATATCAATTCGTGGCATTTACAGCTAATTTTATTTTTTGAAAAAAAAATATGTGGTCCAAAATCCGGAAAAATTACCTT